ATCTGAACGAGCATATACGCACCGCGGCGTGTGGTTTTGTGTGTCGGTAGTGAGTGATGCAGGCGTCGAAGGCTCCAGGCTGAGCGGGGGTACTGCACTGGCTAAATTTCTCATCTATACAGTGGAGAAACCAGACGACGGCAATGTGGGGCTGACTCATACCCGCTTCACAGGATAAGAAAAAAAAATGTACCTTTGGATAAAGGACTTTTATGGTTAGCGGCGAGCCAGTTCACGATCCTCCATGTGTGGCGTGTGCTCGCGGCCCATTAGCGTGGGCTGATTCGTCAATTGTAGAGGGACCTATGTTAAATGTACTTTTAAGCTGGCCGCGTGATTGGGCTATGACCCCCCTCCCCCCCCCCCCTTGTCTAGGCATACACAGCGCGATTATGCAATATAATGTGTTCCTTATATATGCTTTCCCTCTCCATGCATTCGTAACCTGGTAGAGCTTCCAAACGTTCAATCTTTTTTTAAATGAAGTCATGTTACTTTAGTTTGTTTTGACGGCTTACTTTGTTCCTTCTGCTCTTGCTGTTGATCGTGTTCTCACGTTATTGTAGTATAAGTATATTGGCATGTTTCTCCTGTTTGATTTGTTACCGAGGTTCTTTGAGGTCTACGCGCTATCCTTCAGTCAGAGCCAATCGGAGCTCCGCGTTCTGATAACACCAGAACCCCTGCAAAAGAAGCAGACGAACTTGCGCTACGTATAGTTTCGCTTTTGTATAATTATTTCCGCCCCCCCCCCCCCCCAAAAAAAAAAAAAACCCTGCTGTAAAGCCCACCGGACGATGTATGTACCAAATAAAGACAATAAATAGATCAAGTATGACGATTTACAGTTTAAGAAATGCAGATCGTAACCTAATATAAACACTTTCCTTTTTATTCTTTTTTTTTTTCTTTTGCTTCGTTATTCTTTTTACGTTTTTATAAACTAACGTTGCAATCCGATTGACAGTGCAGCGGCGAGCTCGGAACTCGTCACTCTCTGTTTTTCTTAAGTTTTCAATTCCTATACGACGAGTACGGAAAAAATTTTTTTTAAAAGACCGAAGCCAGTATTATATAATATTAACAGACTAAAACCAGCCGGCTACGTGTTCCTATGACAGCCGAGCGTCGAATGGCCCCTAAATATAGCGTAGCGGACAAAACGAAATCCCTAAATTGGCAACGCTGGGGCGCTCCCATCTCGACGAAGACGGGGTCACACAACCCACAAAGGAGGCAACGCACGTCCACCCCAGGCGTGAACATCTCGTAGCAACGTGTTCAATGCACACGCGGGACCATAACCCTACATATGCGACACCTCAAACTCGCACCCTTCCCCCCTTCCTCCCCCTTACTCACTTTCTCTTTCGAGCGAAAGGTACCCAACAATGGAAAGAATCGGAACATCCGTTCTAAACTCGCCAGCAACAAACCACATCACCGCGGTGCCCCTCCTGCGGAACACGTCTTCGTCGCTGCATGCGGCCGTACGTTTGCCCTTTCAAGCGAGCCGCTTGCGCGTCCTCAAAAGAACGCCAACGGAATCCCCCCTTCCAGGTTCCCAAATTTGCACACTCCTACAAACCGTTCCCCCCCAAGCCGACATTGCGGCGGAAGTTATACGTGATCGCCGGACCAGTCGACCTTTCCGCCGCCTGACCACGCTCTCTGCGCGAGGGTACATAGACCCACGAGCAACTTTATATCACGTGACGAAACGGTAGACGCACGGCTGGAGCTACGAGCACGCAGTTTCCGCAGCGCTGTCATCTTATACGAGTGAACAAAAGCACGAGTCCCGCCGCGCGCACCCGTGTACGCCTTGTTGTGTACGAACCAGGCGGGACCGCTTCTTCACCGCGCATGCGCGGCAAAGGAAGGACCCGCGGCGTACACAACGAGGTATACACGCGTGCTTGTTCGCTCGTCAAAGAGCTCGCCGTCGATTCAAGGGGTCCCCTTTGTGTGCGAGCCGTGAACGCAGCGCTCCGAACGGGAACCGGTGAGCACAGTAGGCCACAAGCACGAACTCGTTCAATGCCGCCGCGCACTGTCACAAAGGGGACGACGCGCAGAACGCGCCCTCCTCTGTGTGTGTACGCTCCGCATACTCGTATATGACCCTTTCCGGCCGATCGCGTATAGGCTACGCCATGTGAGCTGGAAATGCTGAAATACGGCAACCAACTCAAAAGGGACCGTGGAATGCTTTCTCTATTTTGGCTCAGTACGGCTTAGGAACCTTCCCTGGTGTTCCTAATATTTGCAACTCCCAAACTCCTTCGTTTAGTCCCCACTCCTGTGTTTCACGTTTCGGCCCGCGAGGCCGCGCCACTTTCCGCTGCACACTTAAACGTGTGGAAACTCCTCGGTTCTCTCCTTCGCGTCTTTCCCGCTGCGGGGCGTCGCCCCTCTTGGATTTTCGCTAAAATGCATCTATCTATTCAGTCGGTGAATATACTATCGAGACTCGAAAGCATAATAAAGGCGGAGAGCAGAATGGGTAGTTAAATTGTGACGAATTACCGACATTAATACTACAACAAGAAGCAAGAAAGTCAAACAGATCACGGATCATTGAGAAAGTGGCTAATAACATTTCAGAACAACATTATACGCGTTCGTTTCTAGCTTTCGGAAAAGCTCGAACAGTGTTTGTTTGGGACAAATAATGCTACCGAACGGGTCATTTGCAAATTAATATTCACTAATCAAAGTTAGCTAGTGAGCAGGCGAGCTGGGGGGAACCCGAATCCGGGGCTTGATTGATAAAGGCTCGATGAATAAATTGGTTAAGTAGCTACTGTCCAGTATTACACGCGTAATGCGGAGCGAATGTTCGTCTGCTTCTTGCGGAAGGGGTGCAGTGACGCTAGAACGCCGAGATGACTGGCTCCAATCGGAAAAATAGCGAATATACCTCAATTATAGGTGCCCTGGGGTCTGCCCACTATCCTTCCAATCAAAGCCAATCATAGCTCGGCGTTCTGACGTCATCGCAACCCCTGACGTCATCGCAAACCGCGGTCACACTGCCAATACGTCAAGCAAAGACGGTTATAGGCTAGGTGGCGCAAGCTGCCGCCCGTTACAAAGGGTATAGCCATTACCATCTATTCATCCATTCAGTCTGCAAACGCGAGTCATCGCAATATCTGTGGTTTGAATGCCGCGTGCCAAGTTTCTCCTTCAATAAACTCTTCGAATGCCATGCGGCATTCGAAGCACGGATCTCGCGGAGACGCGCGTTCCAATCTGTATACAGACTGTCTTTTGCATCTAAGCAGTGTGATCCCGGCTTGAGGCTTTTAACAACTTTTTTTTCTCTCGATAATCCGGCAAGAACAACAAGAAACGCGTGTCGGCCAGCTTTTGCGCAAACGACAATGCGGTGTGTCGCATAAAGGTCGAAACTTCGCGCACTGGAATGAAATAGAAAGGAAGCAAACCAGGTGAAGCGCCCCGTCTGGCATCAAAAGCCGTTCGTTTGGGAAAGACTCAAAAGAGCTCGAGACCTTGAGGAGGTGTCGGGCCACCGCGCTCTCAAAAGCGTAGCGGGCGGCAGCTCCTCCGGCATGTCACTTCCCTTCAAAACGGGCCGGCCCTTTCCGCGGGACGGCTGTCGGTTTCACGCTGGCTTTTATCTTCACGCTTGTTACGATGGAACCGTTCGGAGGAGCGACGGTTCGAGCTCCCATCCGTTGCACTGTTTCTCGGCGCGACATGGTCCACGGCGGTAGCGACGAGACAGCAAAATCAGTGAAGCCCCTTTTGGGTCTCTGAGCGCAGTTTGCAACCTTTCTAACTGTCCAGTCTAAGCTAAGATAGGTTGTGTAACAACAACAAGTTCTAAAGGCGGGTCTTTATTCACGACAACATGGGCCACAGTGGAGGTTAGGAGTTAGCAAAGAAAAAAGTACTTTGGGTTTCTGAGTGCAATTTGTAACTTGCCGACCAGTCCAGCCTTAGGCATTGAGGATTGTGTGACAGTAAGGTCTAATCGTCAAGTCTTCTTTCGCGACAACATGAGCCAGAACGGAAGTTCGTCGAGTCTCATCACCAAAAACACGAATCGCAGTGTACGTTACAAGCTAGCAATGTCAGTGAAAGCACTCCGGGTATCTGAGGGCAGTATGCAAGCTTCCACGAAAGCCATCTTAAGAAAAGAAAGGTTGTCTGATAGTAAGTTTTAACGCCCAGTTCTTGCCCGCAACAACGTAGACCATATATAATATAATTAGCAAGCAAGTCGAGCCAGTGAAACCTTCCGGGTCTAGCGTGTTGTTTGTTGTAATCCTCGATCCAGTCCAGGCTAAGGCATAAAGAGATCACGTGGGACACTTTATAAGTTGCGACCTCCGGCCTTTCCCGGAAAGAACCAGGACTATACAGCCGGAGTTGCGGCCAACCGATGTCACTAAAGTCAGGTCCCTTCGTTCCAGTTAAACAGGAGAACTTCCAATTCCCACCCCTGCCCGTTTTGAATTGAATTGGCATCCGGAGCGCGCGTCGTGTATCACTACTGCTTGGTGCATGCGCTGAAGACCCTGGTGTTCCAGTGGTACTGAACTGGCCAAATTTCCCATTCACAGGGGAGGTACGAGGCGCCTTTTGGGGGCTAACAAACTTCGCACAGCCTAAACATATCCACAACACACGATTTCTTGATGACAAACGTGTTATAATCACAAAGTTTGGTTTGTGTTCTAATGAAAGAATAGCAGAATCATCTGTTCCCATCTATAATCTTACTTGTGGTGCTCACAAGTAGCACACGTATAGCCTTTACCTGCAGTCCAGGGACTGATATGTTCTCTTCTAAATTATGATAGCTGCAGGCCTTGGTGCTGAATTTAAGTCGTTAGCAAAAGGAGGCCAACGCAGGGCGCTGATTGAACCCGAGTGGGCCCCTTGTTGGAGACGCACAAGATTCAGCGCTACGGCCATTTTATGTGTTGCGCAAGGCCGATGCGAGGGTAAGGGAATGGGTGACCGACCTGCTTGAACTCGAAATCCACCAGAGGCGGCTTCAGTTCGGCCTCCATGCCGTCGGGCGACTGCAGGTGACGCCGCTAGATCTGGTCGGAGCACTCGATGCCGGCGTGTTTCCCTGGCTCTCGTGATGGCCAATGTCCTGCCAAGAGAGAAGACCCAAAACGATGTCAGTGATTGCGAGTGGGACCGAACGAAATGGCATCGAGTCAAGTTACGTCTTTATTATCACGAAGTAATTCGCGAGTGACCTAAGGTAACAAAGCTAATCGTCGTTGTTTGGTGTGGTCTTGGATGTCTGGTTCTACTAGAGGCATTGGAGGACTCGTGACATATACGAGAAGGTAGAGATGGTAATTAAAGAATAATTTCCGAATAGACTGATGCCGGTTAGATATTATCATTCATTTTATGCCGGTGTTTGGAAGCCCCCTGCTTTAGAAGACTAAAACATTGACATATTCAGCACTGTGTACCAGCGAATAGCATGCAGCAAAATGATGTCGTGCTGTGAGAAGCCGTCCCTCGAGCAAACGCACACGCACTTTCAGTAACACGGGGAACGAAACAGAAATCTATCTGCCTTCGTGTGTTTTCGTAACTTTGAAAATTGGGACTCAACACAAAACGGCCTGAGCCTTCTTTTTTTATATATCAACTTTGACAGTTGACAAATTATGTCTTTGAAGCGTGTTCTTTCTATATGAGAATCTATAAATGAAGAATTAATCATTATTGCCGAGCAATTAAAGGCATGCTAAACCAATATTCAACATAATAAAATCCGTAGAAATGTTTTCCCGAACCTTACGAGGCCAGAAACGTCATTTCTACAACGGTATCTCAAACAAAACGTTTTACTTCTTGAAAACAATATCGCGATCAAGCGGAATCGGCAGCCGGCCTTCAAGATATGACGTTGACAAGTTCGCTTTTCCCCTCGCCTTAGGCCTTCTCTTTCGTGTCCCGCGCGTGAGCCTTCGAGGACTGACTCGTGACGAAGCTCGAAATTCTGTTTTTCGCAATTTTCGCCTTTAAATCTATCTGTACTGCATCATTCCTTGAAATATACCGCCATATATGACATGTACATGTGTTAGGCCCGGGTCATAATGCTCCTACGTCATACAAAAGACAATCTCAAACACGACTCATCTCAATATCCGTGGTTCGAATGCCGTGTGCCAAGTTTCCTCCTAGAACTCAATGCCATGCTGCATTCGAAGCACCAGTCTCGCAGTGACTCGCGTTGGAATCTGTATGCAGGCTTTCTTTTGTATGACGTATAAGAAGTGTGACCCCGGCCTTGTAGTCGCTACTATGAGATAATCGCAACCCGAATATTATGTTCAGTATCCCTTTAATAAGAACATCAAAATTGGAGACCAACAAGTCGCAGCCAACAAGAGCCAACAACAAATAAAAGAGAGAACTAAAGTTAAGAAAAAAAGCAAGAATTTTTTTTTGTCTTTCTGTGGCTATGCGTTCAATTTTAATAAACAAAAAAATCAATAAAAAACACGAATCAACAAAGAAATTTTTACTATATATATATATATCAGAGGAGTCATGCGAGCGGTGGCGGCGCCGCAGAACCCCGCGGTAAGAAAGAACAGCAGCAGCCGAGCGCTGCATAAAAGAATGTAAGGCACCCTCGAAGCTAAACTGTCTAATCGACTTTATTTTCACGCATTCAAGCTGGGATTTTCTTATCAAGTTGGAGAATCTCCAGTGGGGAGAACTACCTTTTGAATTGTGCCTTATCCATCGCTAGTGAAAAATAGAGAAGTGGCCGACTGGCACGCGGTTGCCTACCCATTTCACCGCCACGACAGATACCACCTGACTGCTTCCTTTCACACAAAAGCGCGCGTTCGTGAAAACATATAAACGAGCACGCACACACACTGCGACCGAAACGCACACGTATACGCACACATAGCCGCCTACTTCAACAAAACACACACGCACACACTGCGTGCACTCAGATTGCACATACAACGAAGCCAACATTCGGGAACTCACACGCGAACAATATTAGGCATTCAGACCACATAAAAAAAAAGGGCGCACTGATTACCATCTCGAGTTCGTAGCTCCGATCAAAGGGAAGCGCTCTGCGAGGAAGAACGCGAGATGAAAGAGGGTGAGAGGGAGGCCGAGGGGAGAAGTAGGGGGAACGGGGGTAGGGAGGGTGGGAGGTGAGATCAAAAGAGAAAATGGCGACTTCTCAATGTTATCTCGCGTCGAGTCGCGCGGCGCGGGTATGGGTCGCGGACAGCCTGACGCGCGGTCAGCGGCTCTTACTTTGATTGGCGGAGATAAAGTCACGTGATTAGGTTGCTCCCAGTGGCGGCCACTTTTTTGCCGCTCCCCCTCCCTCTCGCCGAGGCGATGCTGCTGACACACCGAATTCGGCCTGTGGGTGAAGATCGGGGGCAGATTTCGACGAGGCCGCTGGTTGGAAAGTCAAAGCGTGTGTGCGCCGGCGTTGAGAGGCAAGGCTTCCTGGATGCAGGTTCTGTTAGTTAGATTAGTTCGCGTCGAGGTGTTTGCTTCATAATGTCCCATGCTCCGCTTTCTAAGCGCGAAGACATATTGTGCAGCGCCGATTGTTTTTTCCAGTCCCGATTTCTTTTACGGATATTTGCAAGTGACGTAATAATGCAGATAGTAGGCTACCACAACGTCCCTTGGAACACTCCTGAGTTTCTGTTGTGTTTTTGTTTTTTTCGACCGACTTCTAATGTTTATTTCAGGGATTTTTTTTTTCAACGTAAAATTACATTTGTTTTAAACGACCTATTTTTTTTTTTCTCCCCTTTTTATCCATGCTGCCTAACAGTCAGTAAGAGCTGCAGTACCGAAAATGTTCCCGTTCGCCACGAGGCAGAGGCGAACGCGAGCATAAGCAGCTGGACGACGTATGACTCAAGGGAGTTTGCAGTTACAGGCGACAGGCGGCGCGCGCTGCGATGCCGAATAAATTTTAACCTGTCTTGATCACTCTGGTAAACTCAGGGAACCCATGAGTGTGCCGTGCGTTGAACTATAGCCTCCTCTTTGCTCACAAAGCCCGGCAGTTCGACGACGGAGCCATAGAGTGCCCGGTCGCTAATTTGGAGCGCGAGGAGATCTGGTAGCACAGAGCATCAAAGAGCCATTTCTGGGGGACCTGGACGTCAGCGCACAGCATTTGCAGCGGCGAGAACCGGAAACACATTTGTTCGCTCGGGAGAAGTGTGTTTCGGCGTCTCGCCGCAGCGGGGTACCAGCCACGTGGCTCTCCTCTCACCCGTTGTTTGCCGCTCCACCTTTTCCGTTTCGGCGGCCGCTTCTCATGGCGATCTGCCAGGCTTTGCATCAAGCCACCCAACCCTTTTCGTAACCAAGCATATCAAATCATAACGCACTCATAAATGCACGCACGACTCCTTGTGTGTTCCTCAGGCTTATCGAAATAATCTCTAAATATATATATATCTATTTTGCCTGTCTGTGCTTTTTATATATCTGTATGTATTCTGAGTTAAGACGAACTGGCGCTCGAGAAGCCATGCTGACCAAAATGGCGCCGACAGATTCCGCCTGAGCGACTCCGAAATTAAATAAATAGGAAAGTTGTAAGCCTGTGCTTACACCAAAACTGACTATGAACTGATGTTTTGTGTTTGTTCGACTCTATTTCAGTTCTCAACACAGAACCATAGGGGGAAAAAAATAGATCGTTCAGCTTTTTTCCATTACAATAAGCCAATATGCGCTTAAAGGGCGGAAAAGCTGTACGATCCATTTTTCCCCCCAATGATTGTGTGTTCAAAACTCAAAGAGAGTAGAACAAACACAAAACAAAGCGAGTTCATATACAGTTTTGGTGTGGTTTCGCCATTCCTGCGTGCGTAAATTTCAAAATGGTACGCCAACAACACCTTCCATTCATGGATACATAGATACTCTTTCACGTGTCCTTGCATCCAGAAAACTAGAAGAAGAAAGAAAAAAAGGGGGGGGGGGCACGTATTTGTGGAATAGTATGTTTTGACAAGACAAGAATGAGGAACAGAAACCATAAAAGAGATGAGTCAGAGTACCAAACAGCGTATACCCAAAGTAGAGATATACAGAAGAAGAAAAAAGAAACTAAATGTGGAAACAAGAAAGAGTAGAAAACCTAGATCCAAGCCCGACAGACGGCGCGTGCGGGTCAAACACACAAGCACACATACTCGTAAGCGTAGAGAGCAATTTACGGACCCTTCGATAATTCCGCGAGAACGACCTCATCAACCGCAACAAGAGGCCCCTTCTCCGAACCCCCTCCCCATCCGAGCCTTTTCTCTGTAGCGTTTACTCTCGCAGACATCCGGAAATAGACGCGCGGCCGAGAGCGGGGGCCAAAGGAGAAAAGCGTGTCAGTGCCGTGCTCCTTTCGCGAGAAACCGCCTCGTGGCAGCAGAGAGCGAACCGAGAACCCGCGACTGCCGCTCATTTCTCGCGTTCGGCAGAACACCCACCCCCCTTCAAAGGTCGTTCTAGTTCCTCGCTGCTGTTCCTTCCAGCGTTATGCAGCAGCGAAGACTCCACGTAGTTCCGCTTCTCCGGGTATCCGCAATGAGAGACGGACGCCGCCGCCTTTCAGCCTGGCTGCTTCGCGGTGATGGATGGGAGCTCCACGAACCGCCTATCTGCCGCTTCGCCCCCTCCCCGTACCCCCTTCTCTCCCGTTTTTGACACACACCTTCTTTCTCACTCTCTCTCTCTCTTCAATGTCTGTCCACGACGTTGAGTTCTGCCTTTCGGGAAAGGACAAATTGAACCGCTTTTCCGTCGCGACGGCGCACTACGCCAGATGGCACCACCGACGGACAACTTATTGGGCCATGCCCGTGTTTCCCCTACACTTCTTGGATGAAAGAAGAACATCGGCCAAAATTTTGTACTTTTACTGTCGCCTTGTATCTTTTCCGGCCTGTTGATGGTCCGCTAGTAAATCAAAACGCTGCCATATATATTTTTATTATCTCTTTTAGTTCGTTCAACATCTTGTCGATCGTCCTATGATGTTCAACGTGTGTTCTAAACACGCGAAATTCGGCTTGCTTCACAACTGCTTTAATACTAGGCTTCTCTGTCTCGTTGGGA